CCATCAGCTCCTCCATCAGCACGTATTTTACAATCGCTTTAATCTGCTCGATCTAAAATAAGTATATATTTTATTCCTCGAAATACTTTGTTATAATCATGGCAAAATCCAAAGATTGTGCTTAACGGCGAGATTCTGCGGCAAATGATTTTTGTTTAGCAAATCCCTCGTTATATCTTCTGTTTCGTGTAATAATAACACCGTTTATTAAATTTAACATCTCAACATCATCTGCGGCTGCACCTGGTGGAGTTATACCAAGATTAACACAAGCGGTAATGAGTGAAGCTCTTGTAGTGTCTGCGTTAGTGCCTTCAGCGGGTGTGGCTATACCACATTTTACAGCATTTGCTCTAAGAACATTTGTTACATTTACAGCATCTGGGGAGGCATCAGCTCCGTGTGCAAAAGCACCACTTGAAATAAACTCACCTGAGGTAGTTGTCCCAAACGAGGTATCTTTAAACCACATCATATTTGTGGCCACTGATCTAGAATAATCATCGCTAAACGAAATGGTGTTAAATATTATACTCGCTATGGGTAAGTGCATCGAAATATCTTCTACAGTTTGATTGGCTAGTTGGTATCTTGCACTTTTAAATAAGCTCCAACAGTTATTGACGAGAGCAATTTATATGCCAGTTGAAATATTACCACCTACTGGAGTTAGTATTCGGCCAAGCTCTTCTAACATTGCCCTATGTGGTAGAAGAAACAATTCCTCGTCCCTTGTGCTAAAAGTTCTAATTCCAGTTTTATCAGGTTCGTTTGAGTTTTCGTCCAAATACTTGATGTACTCTAATTCTGTTACAGCTCTTCAGTATCAATTTCTTCGGCGAGATCGAGATAACTTTTAGATGCCATTTACTTTAAAAATCGCTACACAAAATTAAAAGGCAGCATGGGTCATCGGTTTAGTTTTCTTTACAAGTTTTCTTACTTTTTCTTCGCCATGCTGTGAAAAAAAAATTTAGTAGCTATCATAGCTGTATTATTTTTCTTATTGTGGCGCAATATCTTATATTACTCGTTTTATTTCCGATGTGGAAGGCCTCTAATCTTATCAGCAATCTTTTGCCCTATTGCAGTGCCTGCTGAAGAAGCTGCTACCGTCGCAAAAGCTTTATCTGCGTCGAGTACAATGGGCACTACTTTACGCGCAATTCCTGGTATATTTTCTGCAATTGTTGTAAATATGTTTCCAAAACATCCACCTACGAATTTTCTCCTGCAAGTTTTTCTTCGCCTCTTCTATAAAATTATATTCACAAAATTGCGTGCAGGTGTAAATAATACGTGACTATTTCGTTGTTCAAATCTATCTTTCGACCCGACTGGTCTGTGAGTTGCGTTGTGATGCTTTTGATTTGATTTTCGAGATTAATCGAATAATAGATAACCTGACGTGGATTAATCTGCATAATCGATCCTGGTGGAACTTCTGGCGAGAAATTGTAAATCATTTGTCCTCTGCTGCCCTTGACTAGGATCCAGATGCAATAGTGCAATTTACAAAACTCATATTTACTCATGTTATATCTACTGGCAGAACACCCTCATATGTATTAGCTTGTTCATTAGGATTGAAATAATATGCCTTACGCTCAAATCCTCTCAGTGATGCTATCAGTGACGCAATAATTCTTGCTGATGAAAAGTCAACCGACATATTTTTTATTGTTATAGTAACTGGTAGTATGTTATAACTTTATACTAGCTCAAACTTATCAGCTATACAACCAGATTTTGTTATGAGATCTTTTATCACTTTATTTAGGTCAGTAATGTTATAAGAACCTTGTAGAATTTTAAATGTTCTCCACTGCGTGTCTCTTATTGAAATAATTGCAAACTCGTCATTTACTTCAGTCTTTACATGAGCCATAGCATCTCAGCCAGTACAAGAAATTAATCCAATCTCAAACTGTTTTGCAGGATCAAGTTCTATTGGCGGATTATAATGCACAGACAAGTTTGCGCTGCTGCCTGTTGTCTGCGATGAATTGAGCAATAATGTTTTTGACATTATATCACTATTTTAGATAAGATCGCGGTGTAAACTTTCATACTCGGACGATGTTATTATTCCGCGCGATCGTAGATGATCTAATATATCAATAATTTCGTCATCGATATCTACACTTTTGTTACCAGCTTCTTTGGAAGATGTCAACAGCATTAGCCGATCGACTATTTCTGCGTTTGATATAAACACATTAACTCCAGATTCAGTGGTTTCCTCTGGTAATGTTTTATTTCTTTCATTTTAATATCTGTCAAACAGTCTTTCAAAATTCCTACCTCTACCATAACCTCCTGGTTTATGTCGATATTGAATTGGTGTTTTTAATAAAACCTCACAAATAATTCCTTCTTTAATATGATTCATTACTACTGGAATACCTATTTTATCTTCTAATTTTATTATTATTTCATCAGCAAATTGACCATCTTTTATAATTCTTTCTAATGTTTTTATCAAATTATCAGTTTTCTTTTGACCAAGTTCGAATTTTGTCAATATCAGTGATAATGTTTTTTAGTAAATTCATATTACTCAACATCTTTTTTTAACATAGCTTGTTTCTTAAAAAATATTATCTGTTTCTCAATTGGAATTTCTGATGTAATAGCTTCAGTCATTATTTTTGTTTCTCCGCCAGTTCTTCAGTTTTCTCTGACAGTTTGTCTATCATCCTTTTCAACTCGTTTGGATTAACCGTCGTCTTGTTATTGTATCTTAAAATGCTAGAAGATTGTTTATTAGCCTGTCAAACTCAGCTTGCCGTGCAGCAGGATCAGCAATGTTTCTTACACATTCGTTTACAATTTTTACAGTTTCTTCTTTCGAGCTTTCTCCAAGTAAACCTAATAAACCTTTCTCTTTCATTTTTGTTAGTTCTTCTGGAGACAATGTTGATATTTCTGGTTGCTTGCCAGTCATTGCCTCAGTAACAGGTTTAAAAAGTTTGGTGGTTTCTTCTTTTGTCTGCACTTGTCCACGTCGAGTTTCTTCCACTTTGTTCTTAAAAGCCGCTCAAGTTTCGAGAATTCTTTTAGAAATTCGCTTTTCTTTTGATGCATGTCTATTATTTTTATACGCTTTACAAAATTAGATAAGACAAACATTTCAATACAAAAACGAAACATTTTATCTGGATCACGCGCTAGCTTGTCAAATAAAAAGAAATTGTATCTGTCTTTGGTTGCATGATCATATAATTCAATAAACTTGTCTTTTGTGACATCACCGCACTGTTCGTTTGCAATATTTCTCACATTAACATTGTCCCGTCCGGGAAAAATATGAAGAACCGGTATTTCGCCTAATAAATCTATCAATATTATAAAAACCTTGAGCGAGGTAAACAGAATTACATCTTTTATTACGTGATAATGGCAAATAAGATCTAATCTTGTTCATCTCCTCGCTGTTTAGCGGAATATCATCGAAGGCCATTATTTTATGCTCGGACGAATGAAGTTCGTTCACTGGAATAAGTTCTTCTGGTTGTTTTATCAAAAATATATCCTCGCCAGCGTCATGTTCGTTACGAAGTTAATCGTTGTACTCGTTTAGTAATTAGTATTTGTCCTGTTGGGGGTTGATGGTATAAATATATACCTTATCATAGTTGAAGTTATCGTTGAGCAAAAGATTTAATAACAGATTTGTTTTACATGATACGGTTCGCCCAACAATAAGATAATGACAGTCTGGACGTTCATTGTTATGTATATGCTTCACCAATCGCTCAGTTTCAAAATTTATCATCTTCGCCATCGTATAATTTTATGTTATATTAAACCAACAATTTTGTGTAGGACGATAGGTATAATGAGCTACGATAAAAAGTTTGGAACAGTATTGATCTACTGGTCAGACAAAGCACAGCAAGTTGACTTATCAAGATACGCAACTCTTGATCTGCTCAGAAATGAAATCAATAACTTATAAAATATCACAAGTGTGGATCCAAATGAAGTCTTTGTTTTCCATGATAGAAGAAAGCAGCCTTTACACCTATTACTCATGTAGAGTGGGTTCAATTCCATGGACTATCAACAAATCAAAGGATCATCTTTAACTTGAACTAGATCACAGATTCAGCAATCGTTGTTGCATGCCAAAACTTGGTACGTATGATCTTTGCAATAAAACGTGCTTCAAACTGTGACAATTTCCGATAGCATTATGACTAATGACACGCTTTAGATAATGGATGACTTTTCCCTGAGCAAACATTTAAGCTTCATTTCCGCCTAAAAGTTTTTCAAAAAAACTGCTTTGAAATCATTCATTCTGTTCTGATGGCAGTAAACATGTTTTTTATTTTAAAAAGCAATGAACAGTATTATGATTTCAAATGCATTAACCTATTGACATGCTCGATATGGAAGCTTATAAGTGTATCCCTTCTGTATTCAATGTGTTTCCAAGTGATTTAAAGTATGTGTAGCAATTATTCAAGACTAAAATTCTGTATTTTAAGGTCTTTTAAACTTTCTCCATCACGTGTTGCTTATTTGGAAACATACGGTGGACCTTAACCAAATATTTATATCACTTTGATTGTAAACCTAGCGATGCAAAAGACCGTGTCCCGGTGGATTTTTTTATCATTACGAACAGAAATTAAGTTTTCCTGTGGCAAAACTATGAGAAGATTGATACAATTAAAAGAGCTATGTGAGAATGATTGAACCTTTCTTTCATTGGTGTATTTGTACCCTGTATATTTATGTCGCTTTTGTATGTGTGTGTGCGCGCGTGTGTGTGTGTGTGCGCGTGTGTGTGTGTGTGAGAGAGAGAGAGATCTGGATTTGAAACGTAACTTTAACAATATTTCAGTCATATCACTATGATGCTCACATTGTGTCAGTTTATAGTGACGTCTAGCAATGGGACATCGCTGTCCTAACATTCCTAACATAACCTCTTAATGCTCGAAGCTTAAGGAAGTAGCTGTTAGTACCATTTGCATACGTCTTTGGTATGAATCGGTCAAGGTTCGAACCTGCGACCTCCCGCATATGAAGCAGACGCTCTAACAACTAGGCCACCTGAACGTTGTTAGCTGTTATGTAAAATGTTGAATTGAAATTATGCTGAAGTGTATATTCTAGGTTTGGAATTTAATTTGAACTTTTTCCAGTATAAGGTACATAAAACTAAAAAAAAATAGAATTGCCTCTGGTGTTATATATCAGTTATAATGACCCAATATCTATATTAAATGGCACTTCAACAGCACATGTCAATGTTTGTCTCTTTTACAATTTTAATTCATTTCCGAGACCTTAATAACTATATCAATTAATTTATTTTCATAAGAAAATGCGTGCTACTGAATGTTTTCATGAGACAAGTTAATAGTCCGTCCCATTACATGATGCCATCTACAGTTTATAGTTTCCAAGTTATGAACAAAAGATTGGTATACAAAAGAAACCTGTGAAACGTGTATACCATGAGAAAATAAAAAAACGTCAAATATTACACACACAGACAGACAGACAGACACACACAGATATATATATATATATATATATATATATATATATATATATATATATATATATATATATATATATATATATATATATACAGACAGACACACACACACACATATATATATATATATATATCTATATATATATATATATATATATATATATATATATATATATATATATATATATATATATATATATATATATATATATATATATATATTCATCCTTCGAATTTTCAATGGATTTATTGTTTAAGTTTTGATACCCATATATATATATATATATATATCTATATATATATATATATATATATATATATATATATATATATATATATATATATATATATATATATATATATATATATATATATATATATATATATATATATATATATATATTCAAACTAGTACGTTTTATAGTTTTCATTATCTCGGTGATTTGTGCAAAGGATCGGCATATAAAACTTAATGAACGTATTACTTTCTACCTTATACAAAAATTGAAAAGTTATTGGGAATCCTTTTCATAAACTACTTACACCAGTTTGTCAATAACACAACTCTTTAATTTGCAAACCGTTTGTCTATGAAGGCTTAAATATAAATCCTTCTAATAATAATTGTGAAACTGAACCACCAACCCACCGACTCTGTCTCGTAGACCGTGCATCATACTTCGATTGATTACCGTCTAGTTACCGACAAGCTTATCAGTGAAGCCACTGCTGAACCGTCACGCCCTAAATAGCGAATCGTAGTCGACCTAACAGTATCCTGAACAAATCTTAATAAAGTGCTTTTGCAAACACGTGATCAGTTTCATTCTACTCGGAATTAGTTATCAAGGTGGCGTCTGTGTAAGTGTTGGTAATTAATCCACACGTCAGTCTCACTCATGTGAGACACAAAAATATAAGAAACAAAAAGTGTTTTTCACGTTAGTCACATTTGTTTTGTCAGTATTGCCAAACTTCAATATAGAAAAAATGTGGGTGTAGGGAGACAAAGTGGTACCAAGATAAATTAATTAAATTAATTTCCTCGGAGCCGATGCCAGAATCCTTATTTCACAATATACAGCGAATATGCACGGCCTATACTAAACAGCTTGTATTGCAACGAAAGTTGTCTAAAAGGGGGAAAAAACACACATTTCATTTAATTTTATTGAGCAGGGGTATATCTCACTGAGATTTATCTGATAATTCAGACATCCCATCCATTCTCTTTTAATGATAACTTTATCAAAGGACCTAGCCAACAACCACAAATTCCATTCTATTTTGATGATAACTTTATCAAAGGACCTAGCCAAAAATGTATCGAGCAATGTTCATAAAACAAAATGGAGAAATGACATTCATATATATATATATATATATATATATATATATATATATATATATATATATATATATATATATATATATATATAATAATTAGCTTAAGCAACATGTGCCGGTAGATCTGTGTCTGTATAGTATCTTGTGAGTAATCAGTAGGGCAAGCATCATACCTCCTGATCTTGCACGCGCATTATCTTATGACACATTTTGCTTTTGCGTAAGACGATTTTTGTCGCTTGCTGTTTGACCGAATCTATAAACAAGTACATACGGTAGACTGCAATATCTAATTTATTGTTAGTTTCTTGGATGGCAAAACGAGAGTACCATAAAAAAACAAAGTAGTGTTCTTATGGAATATGAAATGCATAACATAAATAATTGCAGATATTGTAGACGCAATTTGAAAAGAATTATGTGTTGGCGATATATCTAGCTAAAACAAACATATCAGAAAGAAAAGGCCGGAAATAAGACTCATTTTCTCTTTTCTAATGCATTATTTCATCTTCCTGGCTTGTTTTGCTCATCTGTGCTGTCGGGTTTTATCAGGACAAAGAATCATGTTACCTTAAACATTGTACTGGCTGAATAAGCTGAATACTGCGAGGTAGGGTGCTTGTACTTGCGGATCCAGGTATATGATTGCTGTGAGATATGATGTGTGTACCGGAGAATTCAGGTATAAGATTACTGCGTGATATGGTGCGCATACAGGGGTATCCAGGCATATGATTACTCTGAGGTAGGATGCGTGTACTGTCGGATCCAGGTATATGATTACTGTGAGGTTCGGTAAGTGCATAGGCGGGTTGCTGTATATGATTACTGTGAGGTAGGGTTAGTGTACAGACGGTATATGATTACTGCGAGTTAGTGTGCGTGTACTGGCGGATCCAGGTATATAATCACTGTGAGCCTGGGTGCGTGTACTGGCGAATCCATATATATGATTACTGTGAGATATGATGTGTGTACTGGAGAATTCAGGCATAAGATTACTGCTAAAGAGGGTGCGTATACAGGCGGATCCAGGCATATGATTACTGTGAGATAGAGTGTGTACTGTCGGATCCAGGTTTTATGATTACTGTGAGGCAGAGTAAATGTACAGGTGGGTTGCGGTATATGATTACTGGGTGGTAGAGTGTGTGTACTGACAGGTCGATGTAGTTCAGTACTATGAAGACTACTTGGGTAAATGTTTTAGACACCTGTCATAAACAAGTCGAAGTGACAATACTGAAAGTAGGATAACGTAATGGAATGTACTTAATGCTTTTAAAATGTTGAAGTGATTTTTGTTTTCCATTACAAGACCTTTAAATCTTTAGTTGTTGATAAATGCACGGGCTTTATCGGAATGTTGTTTCGAAATTTAAGTTCTGAATGAATTAGTTGTCCTTTTAAAGCTTTCACGATATATTATATTTTAATGATAAATTCCTCTCACGGAAAGCTGTACGAGAATTTCAAGAGCAATCTAGTCATAAGGAAAGATATTTTGATGCAGATAGTGGGAATATATATGTTCAGTTTTGACTTAGACCAAAATATGTATTGCCCTAGTTGAATGTATCCAGGAATGAGGAATATGTTGGAATATATTTAGTAAATATCCACGGTTCATGGTTACTTAGGTAGTTGCTTTAGTTTGCAATCTGTCGCTGTATATCACGCCCTTCTGTTCCCAGTAATAAATGAGCGTTATTATACAGTAACTCTGGCAGCCAGTTAAACAGGTAATGACGAGATCGATTTTGACATAATCATTATATATATATATATATATATATATATATATATATATATATATATATATATATATATATATATATATATATATATATATATATATATATTTATTTCTTTCTTATGTTGCCATCATGAACCACAGGAACCAAGAACTAGGGTGAATACAGGATAAATCTTAATGGTTTGGTCGGTAGGCAATGAAGTTATCGAAATCGATATCCTCTGTATATTCATATAGCTTCTGTCATTATTAGGAGCTAAAAGAAATATTACAGTCACTCACCATGCATGGCAACAACTTCAAACTGCTGCAAAATTAATTAAGTATTACTGGTGAAGGTAATATATCCAAGCTCTTTAAAATATAGGGTCAACGTTTGTAATATAAACCAAATTGTCTAAGAAAGTTCCAGACGTTTTACTGCTGATACTTTACGTTTAAGTTCCTTGAGTTCAGATTAACAAAAACGAAAAACTCTATACGTTAATGCAGCTTGTTGGAACTACCTTTAATATAAAATTAAAAGCATCTTCTCTGTCATTTTTGATCTCAGTTCATGTCGTTACAGTTACATTACGCAGACAAACTGGCGTAGCTAGAGACAAGGTTTCAAACTGCATTAAATCAATACTGCTATTATTCTTATAACGAAACTACGGAGGGAAGCCATGACAAATATTATTCCATTTTGTCTACCTTTTGACTCATGTGTCTCCCATCTTCTGTTCCATGAGGCTCGATAAGTGTACCTAATTAAGACTGAAGACTGTAAATCATGCCGTTTTTATGTTACGTGTTACGTTTGCAAAAACGAAGTGAATGAGACTGCGCATCATAGAAATACATATAAATGCTACGTGCTAATCTATGGTTTAATGTTGAGGCAAAACAATTTATTAGTCGATTATTCTTTGGAATATAATCAAACTGAATTTCACACAGTTTATAAACTTAGGCAAGTTTTAAAAACAATTATAAAAGTTGAATTTTGGGAAATATGTCTAAAATGCCTTGTAGTAACTTTTGCAAACGCATATATTAAGGACTTGTGTGGGACATCTGGACGTATTTTGCCAAATATGGTGTGCTTTTTCTGTTTTAATTTTCTTCACCATTCTTTCTTTCTTTCTGTAATGCTGATTCTGTCTGTCGATCTCTCAAAATGCTAGTCTCCAGACCTACTGTCGCCCAATCCTGTAATGCTTGTGTTCGTGTGTGTTAGCTTTCGCTTACACACATATGGTTTGTACAAATTTTAATAAACAAAGAAATGTCAACCACTGACGTAAACCATTTAATTTCACCACGTAAATATATGTCATCGTGCTCCAATTTTGAAAAAAAATTATCTTCATGAGGCACCAAACACATTTCTTTCTTCGTTGCTTTTGTTGGTTCTGTCATTCTATCAGATTATCGCCGTTTCTTCTCTGTCAGTCGCTTA